TTTTGTATGTTTGTTTTTTTTTCTTGTTTTCTTTTTTAATAATAATTGCAAATATAACATTGTTTTTATAATTTGTAATAATAACAGAAAAGTAAAAATATTATAATTTAAAGGGTATAAGTATGTATAACATACAGATTACATATATATATTTACAAAATGTATAATAAAATTGTAGAGTTTTTCCAAATGCAATTTATATACAAACTATTTATACGTTTTACATAAACTTTAGACCTTATACTTTGTTATAATATGAAATTACTTAAATTTTAAAAAATTTCATTTTGTAACTTGGAAAGATTTTTCAACTAAAATTTATGTATGCTTTAAAGTATTTTTTTTTTGAAATAGTAGATTTTCTGAAAATTTGGTAAAAAAATATTTAAGGGAGTCAGTTAATGGGGTTTAACGGGGGTAGTTTGTTTTAGTTGGAAAAGAGAGTAATGTGGCTTGTGTACATACTAACTATGTTATACAACATTGTTCGGTTATTAGTAAAATATTACAATAAATTTTATTCAATTGTACATTATAATAGTCTTGCATATAACTGGAAGATTTGGTGAAAAATATGTAACAATTCAGATTTCAATTAATTTTATAGAATTCATTGGAAAACCGATAAAATTTTACCTGATAATTACTAAAAAATTTTAAAATAAAATAAGGTTCAATGATTAATTCCGTTTCATATTCCAACAGAGAAATTATTAACACGTAATAAAAAATACAGTTTCAATATTTCAATTGCATATCGTAAGGCAAATTTAAAAAATATCATTTCATAGTATTGCGTTCTCGTATGTGTTCTATCATTTATTGACATGGCAATATAATCACATTTAATTAAATAAATCTATTATAGGACTTCATTAAATATTCTATTAAAATTATTTTGTATTATTAGAAACCGTAGTACTTTGATGTAGAGGGTAATGGGTAAACAGACGAAAGTGCTAGTGAAGAGGACGATAATGTTCTATATAGTAATCCAGGTCTTGAATTTCTTTTCGGTCACAAAATACCAAAGAAGAACTTAAGAAAGAAAATTTGAGAAATGAAAACATTGTAATGACGTAAACTTGTTCGGTAATAAGTGAGTACAGAAGCTTAATAAGAAAATTATATAGAAATAAGATGCAATTGAATAATTTTGGCAATGGATTTTCATTATATAAATTTTCGATTAATAAATTTTCCAATTCTTACCCAGAGTCCGATCATTTTGTATAAAACAGAATACTAGAAATACATCTACATTTTGATAATGAATTTTATACCTAAACAAATTTTTCATCTATACAAAAAACATTTTGTCCTTGTATTTTTACATAAATTTATTTAAAGGATATTTATGTACATATTTTTACCCAGATCCATTTAAATAAGTGTAAATAACTTTTGTAAATGATACTATAAAAAAATCTTGAAAGGAATACATACTCACATATTCATATTCACAATTTATATTAAACTTTTATGAAACAAGACTTAAGAATATCTAATTTATGGTAAACTTGATTTTTTCTTTTAATTTGAATTTAATTTATATTCATGACTTTTTTTTATACATACATATATGATGTACCTCATATAAAAAAATAAAATTAAGCCATTCTACATTTGTTGTTACCATTAAAGGTGAGAATTGTTGAAAAACAAAATTCCTACATGATATAAATTTCTTAAAATATTAAAGTATAAATTACAGTAAGAAAAATTTTTGAGAATTTAAAAGAGAAATACGTGAGCTTCTAGTGTTTTGAATATTCGAAGGATAGCGAATATAAAATTATTAACCATTCACAATTCGAGTGACTTAAGTATACTTTTTTTCCATTAAAAGTTGACAAGAAACTTTATACAGAACGGTTTGGTATCCCTTTTAGGTATAACCTTCTTCTTCATTATACACAAGTACGTACAGAATGATAATTTATATTTTACTTAAATGCAATGTAATCGATATGCGTAACGATTGTTGAAATTTAACGAGAAATGTAACAAGATGGGTAAAAATGGGATGCTTCCAAGGTTACAGCGTGGATAACTTCCCATTGCTTTTCTATAAAGTTATAAATCTAGTGCTTAAAATATAACCCTTAGAATAAAAAAATAGAATAGAAAAAATTAAATTTCATAAATGAAATTTGCGAATAGGAAATTTGGAATTAAACTGTATACAAATACATGCTTTATACAAAATATTTCCATATAATATTAACGTTTTCTTATAATATTAACTAGAAGTATGTATTTGTCTTAAATTATTCTTGATGCATATACTTACAATATTGGAATAGCTATGCAATCATGAATTCAAAATTTTCAAACTTTCAAACAAAAAATCGGGAACTAATTTAAAATTAAAATGCATATGATGTACAATATAAATACCACAAGAAAACTATTATAATTTACCTATGGTCTTGACGTTCTACCCTCACTGTCTCAGAACGTATAACACAGACATATGTGGTACATAATTACTCCGTTCATTTAATTACAGTATCACCCACGTAAATTTAAAGCGTATGCATACAATAAAATGGAATATGTGCATTTTCTCTATCAACTTTTGAAATTTTTTTATCAACCCACTGCTTAAAAATCTCCAACTTTAAGAACTTCTTTTATAATACCAGAAAAAATTTTACTTTAAAACTTCTACACTTTTAATTTAAATATTTTCTCTCCTTTTCGGTATTTTTAATTTCTCTCCTTTTATTTCATTTATACATACCATACTTACTACTACTTAAACAAATTTTGGGATTTATTATAGAGAAAATGTACCTTCGCTTAGGTATGAAAGGAAAAAAACAACGAAAACAAATAATTCAACAAAATTAACAGCAAACACACTTGCCTACACTTGCAACTAAACATCGAAAAAAAACTTTTAACATGCTTTTCTTTTGGGAGTTGTAAACATTCACACACGTTTTTCTATAGAAGATATAAGGATATATATACAAGAATGTGTATAATATTTATATAAGGGTTATTTTTCTACCCACATATTCACATAAACACATGGAAATTCTATGAAAAAAATTTAAAGCTTTCCATCTTTATTTTATTCACATTTTGTAGACAAAAATTCAAGAAAAGCTCTTAGTTTTTTTTTTTTTCTCAATTTCTTTTTTATCTTTACTCCCATTTTAGAATATTATAACGTACACATATATTAATAAAAACCCATACATAAAAAAAATTGGGTATGTATACAATTGGAAAATCGATCGATAATTTCTTCGGCTGCTAATACAATACTGCTTTTAACTACTACTTTCCTACTATAATTTCTGCTCAAATATTTAAGGTGACCATAATATATGGTGGTTTTCACCGAAAAAAAATTTGAAGTATATATTCATGTGATTCCTATACAACAGTCAATTAACCAAAAGATATTAAAATTAAACTTCATTCTTAGTGAACCTTTAGGAAATTTTTACAGGCATATTGCATTCAATTATAAACAATAGCGGATTACATAAAAAACTACTAAAATCTTCTCGCTTAAGACACTAATCAACACAAACGTAAAAGGTAGATGATGCCCAGCTTGAGGTTATTCTCGAGCAAAACCTCTGAAAGAATTGCATTTCGACCGAGAGAGTATTAGTCGTAAGCACGTAAAAATATGGCGAAGATCCATATTGCAATAAAATTGATGAGTGTAGCGCCAGACCTTAACCTTAACCTAAAGCAAAAATTTCTTTTTTCTTTCAGGTTTGTTAGGCTGTTGTAATACGGATGATATCGAGGTGGGAGGCTTGACTAACAAGCGAATGCAGAACTTTTTTTGTTATTTAAATTTATTATTTTGTCAAGTTCTAAAATCCTTTTAATATTTCTCAAAACTGCGACTAGCTCAATTTTTCTATTTTTTAATCTGATCCAAAGTTCCTCAAAGGATACATATATCTCCTTACCCTAATATTTTCGCCGCAAAATAACTAGATGCCTTTTCAATAAAAAAAAAAAATAAAAATATCCGCCACTCAAAACAATACACAATAAATGGTCACTTTTCCTTAATACTATAAAAAATTATGCATTATTATTCTTATAAACATACACATACATACAAACATTTAAATAATGTAGAATGTATTGTGCATAAAAAAAAAAACAAAAACAAAAGAAAGAAAAATTGTTTAGGTGTGTTGCCCTTAACAGAGAAAATACAAGAACAACAATTACGAGAACAGCAACAACAAAAAACGAAAATGAAAAATTTTGCAAAAAAAAAAAAAAGAGTAAACTACAACAAAATTTTTTTTATACAAAAATTTACAAAAAAAAAAAATTTATTTTCAACAAAAATATTAAAAATTTTCAATTTTTTTGTCTAATTTTCATGAAAAATTCACCACATTTCATTACAACAAATTCATAATTTCACCAAATTTTTATGTGAAAATTAACAGAAAACAAAAATTTTCAAAAAACGGGATATTAAAAAAAAAATTTCACATAATCAATATGTCGTCGTCATTTTCGTTATCGTAGTAGTGTTGTTGTTGTTGCTTACTGTTTATGTATTGTTATTGTTGTTGTTGTTGTTATTGCTGTCGATAGAGGAGGACATTTTTATTTTATTTTTATATTGTTTGCATTTTCTTTTACATATTTATTTATTATCACAGTTTTGTATTTTGTTTTCTTATTTTTTGTTGACAATCTTAAAATATTTCTTATTCACAATTTAGAATACAAAAAATTTAGAATTACTTATTTTCAAATTTTATTCTTTTAATTTTATTTTCAATATGCAAAAAAAAAATACCAATGTACTTTTTTGCTTAATTTACCTATTATTGTGTGTATGTGTTATACAGAGTCAGGTATATATATATGTACATAACTTATAGTACCTGTATATTAATTCCCTTTTATGAGGTTAGATTTAAATTTGGTTTTTCTTTTTAAATAAATAGCTACATAAAAAATAAATTATAATTCAAAAATATTTTTTATTTTCTTACTTAAAACTTACATTTTATTCCATATTCCTTTGCAGCAATTAAGGAAATCTATTCAAATATAAATTTATTAATCCCATAAATTGGAAAATTTTTTTTTTATAATTTTCTCGTTTTGTTTTAATTACACATTTCTATATTAGGCCCAAATAATTTATACTCTGTTTTATACGAAATTTATAATTTTTTGAAAATATTTTTCACACAAAATATTACTTATTTTGGATTACAAGAATTTCAATATTTTAGAGCCCCACTTTGAAAAGAAATTTTTCTCTTTTTTTTGCTTTAATTGCACACAAATTTTATTGTGAATAAGTAAATTTTTTACTTATATACAGGAAAATATTAAAATAATTAATTTTTTTTTTTCAAGTTATAATCTTTTGTATATTTTTTAAATTTTTTTTCCACGAAATTTTGCAAAATTTTTTGCTATTTAAAAAGCCTATTTGAATAAAAAAAAATTTTTTTTTTATATTAACATTTACTGTGAATATTATGAGCATGTATACATACATACATATATATGCATATACAAATAATTTACACTTATTTTAATAAAAAAAATATAAAAAAAATATTTAAATATAATAATTATTTTTTCACAAAAGGAAAAAAAAATATTTTTCGGCAATTGATTTTCGACCACCCAGAATACACTCAAAGAATAAATTTCAAAAAAAAAAAAATTATTAATTATATTTGAAAAATGCACAAAAATCGTATACGAAAAAAAGAAACAAAAAATAAATGAATTTTGGAGAAAAAAAATTAAAATCCTTTAAATACAAAAAAAAAAAAAAACAAAATTATTAGAAAAAAAAAATTAATTTTTATTAAACACAAATTTTTCTTGAAATTTTCTTCACAATTTTTTTCACTTTTCTAGAAAAAAACCAAAAAATAAAAAATTTTTTTTTAATTATTGTGAAAATTTTAAAAATTATTTTGACTTTTTCTTCTTTAAATTTTATTTTCTTTTCTTCTATTTAAGAAAATTAAAAATACACAAAAAAAAATTGAAATTTTTTTTTTCTATTTCTTAAAATTTTTTCTTTAGAAGGAAAATTGCTTTTTATTTTTACTTTATTTTTTAATTGTGAATAAAAATGATTTTTCTTTAATAATTTTCCACCATTACCGAATTATTATTAATTTTTTTTTTTTTCTTTTATAAAAGAAAATAGGAGGAAAAATTTTTTTTCTTTCTTTCTGACATCGATATTTAAAATATACCACAAAAGCAAATATCGACCTTAACTCGAGTAACGCAAACGCCACAATAATTGCAAGGGTTTTGAGAAATTGTTCAAAAAGCTTTTTGGTTTTTTCTATATTTTTTTTTTGTTTTGTTCTTTTTTTTGTTCTTTTTCGAAAAATTCTTATGGGAAAGAAAAAAAAAGAGAAAACAACAAAATTTTTATTATTGGTAGCCGTTATTTGTACATAATTAGCAAGTATAAACCAGGACTGTTGGTGTAAAAGAGTTGGTGTGTAAGATAATATTATATACGTTCATAAATTTCAATACATTTTTTTTTTTGAAATTCCCTCAAGGTAATTCAGGCTTTAAATGAATTAGGGGTTTGATATAATACGACAAGTGTTCGATAGATTTTAGTAAAGGGAAAGGTGAATGATTTTACTATTTTTCTGATCCGAAGTAGTCTTACTCTTATAAGCCACAATTGAGAATTTAGGAGATATAAATGTAAGATTTTTAAAGTTATTTATATTTGTACTATGTCTTTAATCGAAAAATTCTCAATGAGATTTGGAAGCTTCGTTCGGAAAGTCTTTTGAACATCGATCAAAAAAAAAAAATTTACAACCATTTTATCGAATTGAAAGTTACTCTTTACAAAAATCTTTACTAGAACCAGCCCCGGATCTACCATACATGCAAAGTAATTATATGCAATGAGTGGTAGAAGACAGAGGCGCAATTATTATGCGCAATGTCCAATATTTACTGCATATTATTCATTTATTTGAAGCCGAGAGAGCGCTCTTTTTGGAAAACGCGTAAGGCATCGAACAGGTCAGAACCGGGCCTGACTAGAAATATGCAACGTATTTAAATATTAATAGGTAGACACTAATTCAAAATAAAGTTAAATACCTTATAAACTTGAATTTAATATTTTTATAACAAAAACACATTTGCATACCTATAATTTTAAAGAGTTAATATACGAGTATTATAAATTTGTACGTATAATTTTTATGATTATATTATATTCATAAAAATTCTAAATTTGAAAAGTTGTAAAATTTTTTGTAAGTTTATTTCGAAATACATTTATTCGAAATTTTTAGAATTCTTTCGCAAACAAAAAAAAACTAGAAAATATCCTTATAATTGAGCTTATTTTTATATTTCATATATTTGTATGACATTAATGTCTCTCTCTTGAAAACACAAGAATTGTGTTTAAAATTTTAAGCTTTCTATTTTTTCGAAAAAAAAAAATCTAACTCGAAAGAGCAAAACTTAGTGTAAGAAAACGTGTTTTATATTGTCAACTGAGAAAAATGTCCAAATTTTTTCAGGTTCTCCCAGAAAAAAAAAAATGTTATACTGATACACTCTCTGTGTGCAACTCATAATTTAAACTATTACCCTCTTTTCTCTTGTGTACACGAAAAAAAAATACAACGGTGTTTTTTATGTACCTCGTTAGTCGTAATGTACGTCAAAACATTAATGGTACAAAATCTTAAAGTGTCACTGTGCTCTTTTCAAATATGTACATAAATCCCATATTAAAATTGCAAATTAAATAATTCTCTTTTTTCTCTCTTCTTCGATTAGCTTTAATATACAAATTATCGTTTTTTATTATTTTATAATTTTGTCTATATACACTTGTAAAATTCTCCTAAAAGTCACAAGTATTAAATGTCAGTTATATGTCAAATTATTAAAAAATACTACTGTTATATTTCTGTTTTCATTTTCTTTTTGTTTATATTTCTTATTTTCATTTTATTTGTTCGTATGGCTTTTATACTGTTACTTTTATTGAAATATTTTCGAATTCTACCTTTAAAACTTCATTATAAGAAACTAAAGTAGAAATTAAAATATTTCCTTTTTTTTTGTATACAAGTATAAAAGTCAATACAATAAAAAGCATATATCTAAGTATGTATGTATGTACTACTTTTATGCCTTATAAGATTTATCCTTTGAATTTTTGTTATACGTATATATGTATGACATTTGTGTGACATTTATGTAGACATAAAAATATAATTCATAAAAAATTCTAAGGTATAAAATTTATTCTTAAATATGTATATTTGTGTATGTACACTCTTTTTTGTTAATATTAAAAAAAAATTATTGACAAATTGTCTGGAGACACACAGAGAAAAATTTTTTTTATTACAATATTGAAAATTAATTCATACTTAAGAAATAATTTTATTTATTTTAATTAAGTTGGATTTTATAGTCTGGTACAATTTCCAATATATTTTATATTTGTAAATTTTCACTAATTATTTCATTAAATAATTACAAATTATTGTTATATAGCACCGTATATAAATGAAAAATTTCATTAAACTTTTTTCACTTATACAAAACTATTCGATATATAAATGCCGAACGTTCACGTCAAAAACTCCCGTTAGACTAAAAAATAAACATAAAAATAAATCCTAGAAAAATAAATAGAAAAAAAAAGGAATTTTTTTTACGTTAACCGTTATATATATTTACGTATGTTTTATATTGTTATACACACATCTATAATACACATTCAAACAAATATGAAAATAAATCTATAAATTTTTTATTTTTTGTTTTTTTTTCTTTGAATCAAATTAGATAATAATTTTTTGTCCCCTTTTGTTCGTCTATTCTATAAATTTTTATTATAACTGTTAAGGACTATGAACCCTTGATATCATTTCAATATTATTATAATACTCAAATAAAAACACAAGTGTATCCGATATATATTAACAATAAATACGTATTATATATGTACATATGTATAAACATTTAATAAAATACTTATCGCCTATAGCTATATGGTATATATAATATTTATATATTATGTTAGTAACTATGATTGTATGTATGTTGATTACATGAATGTTGTTATACGTGTGCCTATATGCACATTTTATTATTATACAAATTTGATTTTGTTATTATTTCAATTATTTTGTATGTATTGCGAAATATATTTTTACGATAAAAATACAAGGGGTAACCTGATAAAATATTCTCTACTTGTATGTATATGTATATATATATACATAAAAGGACATTATTTTGTGTTCATGTATGACAGAGAACACACATCATTATGCATAAAAATTTAATCAAAATTTTTATCAACAAAAAAAAAAATTGTATTTTTATGTTTAATTGTATATGTATGTATTCTAACAAACACAAAGAAATCTGCAATGACTGGAAATGTATATATTGTGCAGTGTACATTATGCTATGTGCATATATGATTTGTATCAAACAAGTCCTGCTATATTAGGACTTTAGACGATTTCTTATTATAGGAAAATTTTACTCTTTCGTTCACGTTGCCTTTTCAGAATTTTATTTTCGTTCTCTTTTTGTATTTTTAGAGTAAAACGAAGAGTAAACAATATTTCTTATTCTCATGAGAATTGACGAAAGAGAGTAAAATATAAATGAAATAGTAAAGGATATTTTTGAATTGCAAGGAAATGAAAAATTTATGAATGTATTTTTCTTTTCATATTTATTATATGTTTAAGTGTAATAAATTGAAGGAAGAGGTGAAAATGCAATACTATACCTTAAAGAGGAATAAAAAGAACAATTGAGTCAGAAGTGAATGAGTATTCGAAACAAGAAACAAAAAAAAAACATTTGTCACGCTACTTCTGTCAAAATTTTTTTTGTGTGTATATAATTTTTTTTTTATTTTATTTTGCATTTTTATTTTATTTTGCACTTTTTTGTTTTTTTGCTTGCGTTTCTGTTGAGTAAATTGTACGCATGCGTGTTTTATTACTCTATAATGCATTCTTGCTTACAATGAAGTTTTTTTTCTTCTTGCGAATTAGGGTTAAGGTAAAGTTGTTTTGTAAATTTTATCCTTTATTATACCCGTACGAACGTATGTTCGAAGGGTATACTAAATTTGCCTTACCGTTTGTAACGCTAAGAAATAACGGTGTTAGATATAGACTCAAGTGTATGTTTTTGATCAGCGTCAAATTCTGAGTTGATTTAGCTTTGTCTGTCCGTCCGTCCGTCCGTCCGTCCGTCCGTCCGAACGATAACTCAAAAACTAATTGAGCTAAGTTCACCAAATTTTCACAAATGATTTGTTGTAGTAAGTGCCAGAACCCTATTTAAATTGGACATGATCGGAGTACCGGTTCGGGTAGCTGCCATACAACTCCAAAATTTATTTGGCTATATCTCATAAACTATAAAAGTTATGGTATTGAAATTTCACACAAACGAATATATTAGTAGGGCCAATGTGTCACATAAAAGTCGTTGAAATTACTTGGCTCCTTCTGGTACCTGCCATACAACTTCCAAAATTATTTGGCTATATTTCAGAAACTATTAAAGTTATGGTATTGAAATTTCACACAAACGAATATATTAGTAGGGCCAATGTGTCACATAAAAGTCGTTGAAATTACTTGGCTCCTTCTGGTACCTGCCATACAACTTCAAAAGTTATTTGGCTATATCTCAGAAACTATAAAAGCTGTGATATTGAGATTTCACACAAGTGAATATATTAGTAGGGCCGATGTGTCTCGTAAAAGTCGTTGAAATTACTTGGCTCCTTCTGGTACCTGTCATACAACATCAATAGTACTTTGGCACAACCAGTATTTTGAATAACACATAGTACTGAAATTTTGCATAAATTAATATGGTAATACGGCAACTTAAAGTCATAGTCTGCCCCATAGTTAGTTATGGCACATTAGTTATTCGCACATACGATAACAAATTCGTACGGGTATCACAGAGTTGACAAGGTCAACTCTATTTTTTTTCTCGTTTTTATTTAATCCTGTATATTTGAGTTTATTTCTCTTTTATTTTTATTTGTAAATTAAGGTATGTTTGTATATATTATATAGGTACTCATAATTATCAGTATGTACTTACAAATATGTAGGTATATAAGTATAAACTAATTGTAGTATATTTTTTTATTTAATAAATCAGGGGTTAAATTATTGTTATATGCTTTGATGAATCGTCGAAAAGGAAGAAATTTATAATATTAAATACAATGTGT